AGAGAGTGAGAAGAGAGAGAGATAGAGAAGAGAGAGGGAGAGAGAGAGAGAGAGAGAGAAGAGAGAGAGAGAGACACTATGTCTCTCTTCCATTTTTCTCCACTCACTGCTAGCTCAGGTGTCTTCATCACAGGAGCAGCTGGAAGGTTGCTTAGAACATGTGGGGTGTCCTTCCTTGTCAACCTGGGTCTTGAAGTATCGCTGTCAGTCATTTCAGAGGATTCCTCTGCAGGAAAAGAGACTGCCCTCTTTGGCTGGTCTGCACCTGGTGATTTGCTTGACTCTTCCATTCTCCTCTTATTGTTGCTGCTACCTGTAAAGAGAAGAAAAAAGAGGAAGAGAAAAGAAAGAGAGAGGGGGAAAGAGATAAAGCAATGTCCTTATGAGGCAGGTGATAATGCTAGTAGGCTACAACATTGAAAGTGATAAATACTGAGAAAACACTTAGAAATTTGAAATGGCAGCAGCAGCTGGCATCAAAGCACCTTGCTTGTTGCTCCAAGCTTGCTCTTTCTTCTCCTCCGAGTCGACTATAGACGAATCTGAAGCTCCAGCAGCCACTGCAGCTGTATTTGAGGTCCCGCACCCCATGCCACCTTTAATACTGAGACTTCTCCTCCTCTTCCTGGCGTCAGGCTACTACTGGTCACACCAGAAAACAAGAACAACACTTCCTTACAATAATACTAAACACGTCTCCTTATTGTACATCAGACTCCCAGCCTTTACAAGGTAATTCTACAACAACTCTGAACTCTGAGACGCCAATGGCTGCTAATGAGCTCCGCCCATCTAATGCAGAACATGGGCGTGGTCAAAGAACACGTGTTTGATTGGTAGGTGTGGTTTTCATCAGCCACTCCTACTTCTTTGCAGAGGCAGCAAGCTCGAGCTGCCTTCTTCACAGGATAATCTTCTTCTCTCTCCCTTTCTCTCTTCCCCCTCTCTTTAGCAAGATGGAGAACGAAGATATACGGACTTTGGTGACGTTTAACCGTGGAAAAGATGTCATTGATCTTGCTCAGTACTGGGTAGAAGAGAATAAAGACAAGCCTGGTGACGTTACCACTTTCCTTCTGTTTCCAGCTGCAAAAGCAGGCCAACCGGACACACTAGAGAAATTCATTCGATATGGTGAGGAGGACGTACACGTACATGTATACGCCCACATGTACATGTACATTGAATCTCTGTGTTATTATTATTGATTTATTACATTCATTTTTTGTGGTAGGCGATTTGTCACAAATCGAGAAAGACGATAAGAGTCATTTGGGTTGGAATATCTATCATTATGCTGTGTACGGCTATCAGATCAACTGTAGCTATTTATTAAATGAAAAGGTAAGGGAGGGAGAGAGAGAGAGAAGTGAAATTGCTATTTTTGGCAAAAACAATACCCAACCAAATATTTCATGTATTGTTACAATCAACATAAGGACATACTGATTCATGTACTACAGTATCACGTGCATTTTAAAGATGATTACTATTATTGATGTTATTATTATTAATTTGCTTCTATTTGTTTATTCTCAATGAGATACACGTACCTGTACTTATCCTAAACAAATACCAAACGCCTTTTCTATTAGAAAAACAGTCAAACTAGTTTTGTGTACCAGTTTAAAAGGAGAGAGAGAGAGAGCTAGATTCTTATCAGTTTAGTGATAGTATTACACTAACCAGAGTCTTGTTACATGGAGCTATTGTGTACACTGTGCTTTCACTTTGTGGGTTGAGGGAAACCTAACACCTCCCTCTCATTCTCCTCTCTCTTACTCTCTCCCTCCCCCTCCTCTTTCTCTCTCTATTGTTTCTTTCTTCACCCTCCCTTCCTCTCTCTCTTTCTCTCTCCTCTTCCCCACCCCCCTCTCTCTCTTTCTTTCTCTCCTCTTTCTCCCTCTCTCTCCCTCCCTCTCTCTCCCCCCCATAGTCCCAAGCTAGCACTGCTAACCTCACTCCTGATGAAGCTAGACAGATACAGCTGGACATTATTTACTTGCTCCATCAACACAAAGCTCCAGTGACAGCTGGTCTTGATATAGAGCAGGAGGACATACTCCACCCTCTTCCTCTCCATCCCTCTCTAATGGCACTGGGTTTCGAATGTAGCTTTAGTGAGGCGGCCATTTTGATTGGTAAGAACATGTACATGTACATACTTTAAATGACGTAATATGAGTGACCAGTGACCAGTGACCAGTGACCAGTGTGTGTGTGTGTGTGTCTGGAGGTGAGTATCAGTAATGTAATACCTGAGTCCCTTGATATCTGCCCTCAGCTTCACCTCAAGCAGATATCTCAGTCCTCAGGTATTACATTACTAATACACACACACCTTGAGACAAGATGGACCATACAATGTATGTACATGTACAGATGATGTTTGTGTGTGTGATGTTGGTTGTGCTGTTAATAATAACTGTTTTTCTTTTATAGACATGTTATCCTTATCCTCATCAACTGCTGGTAGTAATGGAGTAGGATCCCACTCAGCTAGTACTCCAGGTAAGAATGAAGAGAAGATGAAAGACCTTAAATTATTACTAATAATGTTCTCGTTGTTTAGGTTTGGATAATATAAAGGTCACTTCTAATAATGATCACAGAAGAGCCCTCTATCATTTGTTTGAATGGTAACAAACCACTATACACTTGTACATGTACCTCCATATGATATACATTGCTAATCTTCCATACAATACTGTACAGGTACAGGTATATAGCATGTACTCATGTAGCACATTCTGATCTGCTTCATTGTTCATATAATTCA